ACTTTTCAATGTATTTTATTCTTATTATTTCCTTTTCCTAGATGTTACACCCTTTAGATTCTGCAGAGTGATTTTTGTTTTTTTATAGCTTAGACATAAAGGAGGCCTTTCACACGGTGACTCTTCATGATCAGACTCAAATTTCCCATATCTTTGACAGACTGATGTTCTCGTACAATGATTTTGTAGATGACCAAATTTCTGAAATTTGTGACATCCAAGGAGATTAGGAATATATGGCTCTACCTTGGCTACTGTGTATCCAATCTTTACTTCTTTTGGTAGAGTAAATTTGTTGAATGTCAAAATTTGAGTGTTTGTGTTTATTAATGTATCATTTCTTTTTATTTGTATTCTTTTAACGTCAGTTTCTCCTTGCTTACCAGAAGAAATTAAAAATGATGACACCCTTTTTAGGGTGTCATCATTTTTAATTTCTTTTGGTGAGCAGAATGACAGTTCTGGGCATTTTATTACTCCTTTAGATGAATTAAGGAATTGGTGGGGGTAAGCCTTTACTTTCTTCTTGTTTATTTGCTTAATTTTTGTAAATTTTCTGCATCTTTTTTGTTTTTTTACTTGAATTAGAAGTGTGCTATTTTTCTTTATTTTGTTTTGTTTTTTTTGCAGATTTTGGTTCTATCATGGCTGATATAACCTTTTGCATCACAAAAGGTAACACTTTTGTTATTTCACCATCTAATGGTTTGATAACTATGAAAGTTGGAAATTTTTTGTTTTTGATATTTTGTTTCACTTTCTGTTTCGGAAGTCTCATATTGTTTCTTGGTTCGTTTATAAGAGTTAGCCATATAATTTTGTATTCATTGTCTGTGTTCCCCACCCACCTGGGGAGTTCCTTCTTAAGGGATGTTATCAGTGGGGACTAATCCAATCACCCTGATCCACCAGGGCTACACATGCATTCCTCCACCATATCTGCCCAAATATAGTAGCAGGTAAGGATTTGTGGCTGTGTTGGAGACATTATCTTTCACCTGAACTAGCCCTTGCCACTATGTGACTAGTCAACTGGAATGGCTATTCCATCCACCTGTCTATCCTAGGTAGGGATCAAAGTGATGTGTTGTGGAAATTTCTGATCATTTTATATCAGATAAGGAGTCACTCGGTCACCAGGATTCCGTACCCAGGTATCACTGGTTGCCACCCACAGCAAACAGGTGACCCCATTGAGGGAAATTTGTAGTTTTTGGGAATTGGTTTTCATGAATGTGCATTTTATATATTGCAATTTGTATTGCTGGTATTTTTGTTGGCCCATCTGCAACTCCTGCTATATTGCATTAATCCAACTCTCTTCTGACTTTATATATGTGATCTGCTCAAGATTATACTCCAATCATTTGTGAATATCTATGCTGATGATACAGCAGTATATGGGTGCACTTCCAAAACTCAAGATGGCCAGAGCTTGGCAGCTGATCTCTCTTCTAGCCTAGCTTTAACAGCTCAAGGGGGGAAAAACTGGTTGGTCACTGTAAGTGTAAGCATTCTCAAAACAAATTTGTAGCAGATTACTCTCCCAACAAACGCTGTAGCCAAAAATGCCCGAATTTTCCTTCCGAGGTACCTGATTATCTCTTTCACTACACTCCCCCCTGTCACATAAGTGACACTCATGGGCGGGCCTCTTTATTCTTAAGCTTCTCCGGAGCGGGGCGACTGTTGGAGAAGATTGTGTGTTATGTTCTGAGGTTTCTTCTGATCTGACAACCTCATGCGCAGAGTCTTCATCATCTGAAGAATGTTCTGAAGATTCTTCTTCTGAGGATTCTTCTGGTCTGACAACCTCACGCACAGAGTCTTCACCATCTGAAGAGGTGCTAGCCCTACCTCCAATGGTAATTATTTGTTCACTTTCTGAGCACTCACTGCTAGTGTCACTTGTTGACGTATCTGTACCTACATAGCGACGCAAGTCCTTTATGTGTCTTAGTATGCCATCAACCAGCAGAGAGCGCAAGTTACTTAGTCCAGTGACATGCCCCACCCAGTACCGGGTTGTACACCGGCTATGTGGAGCTTTCACCCACACGCGATCGCCCAAGTCATACGGCGATGTTCGCTTATCCGTTCAGTTGAACGCGTTGCGCCAATGCCTCGTAGCGACTTTTGTACTGATAAATCATGTTAGCTGGCGCAGTTGAGGGCGATACATTATTGTCTCGGAGTAACATTGTACCAATACACCGCTCCATTATGGAACACTGCTTCCTAGCAGCGATTCTTTTGATGTTCCGGCGACATCGCCGATTATGCCATTCCCTGATGGGACATACGCGCAGCGAAATCTGAGGTGTACTCCCCACGAATCCACAAAATCTTTGAATAGTCCACTGTGGAATGCAGTGTCGTTGTCAGTGAGGAGTTCCGTTGGAGGTCCACGTTCAAAGAACAATGACCCCAAGTGGTCAATGATGCTTGCGGAATCCTGTCGACGCAGACGCCGCCAAATAGTGAACCGGGTTGGGCCACAGTCAATCAGGGTTAAATAGTGATGTCCGTTATAATGGGTGATGTCCATTCCAACAACGGTGACCCTGTCACAGTCAGTGTGTTGGTCGTGGACAGCGCGTTATTAGGGTTTCGATCTGCTCCTTGGGATGGACATTATTAAGGAGCTGGGCGGCGACGATTACAGAGGCGGCCGAAGTCAAGTTTTCTGATCCACCCATCTGTGCTACTTTGAAGATCAACGAGCCTGACTTTAGCGCAGAGTTCGACCAAAGGACGAAGACATGGACAGCATTTTGGAAATGGTCGGAAAAAAGTTTGTGTTTTGTGTGCGATCTGCCGAAATAGCTTGTAAGTGTAAGCGTTCTCAAAACAAATTTGTCGCAGATTACTCTCCCAACAAACGCCGTAGCCAAAAATGCCCGAATTTTCCTTCCGAGGTACCTGATTATCTCTTTCACTACAGTCACATTTAATGCCTTGAAAACCAAACTAGTGATGTTCCATCATCACCAAGCGAAACCTGAATTAACACCTATTGCAATGAATGGGTGTTCTCTCAGGGACGCCCCATGCCTTGAGCACCTGTTGGCATTTAAACTTAAGCCAGACCTCAAAAGGAACTCATATATATACTGGAAAAATGGTCAGTTCCCTGTACTGCTCCAGTAAGTATCTGACTCCTCCTGCTATCTTCTACTTTTACAAGAGTCAGATCCGGCCAAGAATGAAGTACTATTGTCACATATGAGGAACTGCCTAGTCTTCACTTTCCAGTTATGATAGCATTCAAAAGCATCTCTGTGTCCTTGAGCGTGATGAATTATGTTCCATCCTACAACCCCTTTCCCACAGATGAAACACTGCAAGCCTCTCACTACTCTATTTCTATTTCCATGGAACATTTTCAGACGAACTACATTCCTTAGTTCTACTAGTCGTAATGTGCATGGCTAAAACCCGCTATACCCACTCTGGTGAACTACCAGTTCCACTCAAGCATCTTTTATTCATAAACTGCTGCTTTGTGAAACAGACTTCCAGGAGGATGCTTCCCTGATTGCTATAATCTTAACCTGTTCAAGTCTAGAGTTAATCATTATCTTCCCCAGATAGTTACATGTGTCTCTTACTCTGTAACTCACTACCATGAGAGGCTCTGGGCCCTTGTAAAAAAAAAAAAAAAAAAAAAAAAAAAAAAAAGGGAACCAGTGCATATATCTATCTCTAATCATCCAGTTATATTATCTGCATCTTTAATTTGAGCAAACTGAAACAATATTCAAGGTGTTATGATTTTGTTTTCCATCAGTGTAATTTGAATCAAATTAATTTGAAAAATAAATATTCATTTTTATTTTTTTTACAAAACATTTTGTCTGATCTAATAGTCCATAATATAATTTTGTAGGACTTCTTATTTTTCATTTTCTGTGCTTGAAAGTCATATTATAATTCTGGTAGGTAATCTTACCAAAAGAACATTTTATAAAGTTATGATAACAAGCAAAGATTGAATGGGAGTATTTTTTTTAAATAAATTAAACTCTGTAGCAACAATAATTTTTGCTTGTGTGTGTATGTTTAAGAAGTAGTGAATTTAATTTCAGAAAAATCTCCACATTTAGCAAATAATGGAATGAATAACTTTAGTATTGTATCACTTAAACCAAATAAACTCATATTGACTTCTATTATATTATTTAAACTCCCATTTAATAATATTAAGTATTTCCAATATAAAAAAAAGAAGAAAAAATTCCATATTAGAAAGTAATAGCTGATTTGATTTTCAGAAAGTTTGAATAAAATTTTTATTTGTATAAAATTCATATTAGAGCCGATAATAGCAGTTGATGTCGCAATGAAAATCAATAGCCAATATCTTAATTTGTTTGAATTTTTGAGATATGGAATTACTATATACCAATTTATTCAAACTGCTGTTTTCATATTGCTGTAATGTTTTGGTTGTCAAACTCTTTAGACTACTTCAGTTGATTCTTGTATTCAATAACAATCTAATAAATAGTGTTTATTATCTTTGTTGTCAATTTTCAAGAACAAAGAAAATGTATAAATTCACTTTCATATGTTTAGGTTTTATTACAATTCTAATCATTGCATTTTAAAACGAACATTGCTGAAGAGTGAAGAAAGTTAAAATAAAAGTGATATCATGAAAAAAAAACCAAAAAAAAAACATTCTTTTGGCACACTGTTTTTTTGCAGGCACAAAGGTCCATGTTTGCAGACATTTTTTTATGATAGAATTTTTTTAGGCAAGGAATTATTATACGTCTTTAAATTTGGATTAAAGCATTGGTTAAAACAGGTCTGGTTCACCAATAAATCTGAGTCTAATTCCTGTGTCAGATAATGTGGAAAATTCATATTTGGTTCATATTCATTTTTTGTAATAATGTCCCAAAAAAAACTTTTGTGGAATTCTAATGCTATGTTCAAATGCTGGAATTCTGCTATGAATAAGAATTCATAAGAATAAAATATGAAACTCTTACCAAAATCATCAAAATTTTGCCGTCTACTTCTTCGTGTGGTACCTCTGCCAGATTTTCTAGATGCACGATAGTTTTGCCTTGTTGATGTTCGAGAAGAACGGCGTCTGATTCCATAATCTTCATCATCTTCATCTTCTTCATCCTCTTCTTCTGAATAATCACTTGCATCCACATCAACAGATACATCAGAATCTCTGCAATTATATCCATATCAACACATTATATTATGCTTCAAAGGCCATTAGAAGGGATTTAAATGTTTGGGATTTTAATATTAATTTTGGTGATTTACATGAAAAGATATAAGCTATCTCTTTTTTTGAAATTGTCCTGCATCATTTTAATTACTGTAAATTAACTTCAGTTACACTATTCTGAAGAATGTGAATAAACACTGAAATATTCAAAATCAACTACACACATTTGTTAACCAGTTCATTTATACTTTCCTATATTCATTATTTTCCAAAGAAGTTTACCTAAAATGTTTTAACAAATTGTTACTAATTTGACTATTGATCAAAAGTTCATTATCTCATCAGAAAGTACTTTTATAAGCACATCATCTTCATATAAAAAAAAATTAAAATATTCAATTACTTTATATCATATAATTACTTTTGGTGCAAAAATTTAATGAGTAGGGATCAGTTTAGTACTCAATCAAAGTTATGTTTATCTTAGCTTGCTATATACAGACAATTGCAACATCAATAATATTTTCTACTAAAACCTCATTTGAATTAGTTTAACCAGTTTCAAAAACTATCTTCTTACTCTGTCAACATATAACTGAAAGACATGATTTTCAAAACCATAATTGTATTATACATTAGCTTTATTAAAAAAAAAAGAAAAAGGACAATTCTAAATCTATATGAGGGGTTGGTAAACTAGCGTCCAAATCTAGTATGCTATATTTCTTCCAGCCCGCCAACCATACAGAATACACTATTATTTTTAACTGATTAATGTGTAACATATAAAATAAAAATTGTCTTCTGTTCAGACAATAAATATAAAGGCAGAGAAAACAAATATAAAAAACTCCATAAAAAATACTAATCATAATGTTAAGGGGTCCACCCCTTTTTCATACAAGTGGACTCGCCCAGTGTGTACTTGCACTGCTGCCGGTAAATACCCAGAGAGTGTGAGATAACCGTTTTGTAGGAGTCACAGTTGCGAGCACGTAGACTCAGAAGGAAGTCATACTTCGATACTGAATTTCCCAGACTGTATATATATTATTATTGCTACTAACCGCTTTTCTGAATCTACTAACCATATTACCAATTGTATTATTACAATACATTTATTTGCTATATTTCATTCCTGCGTTTGTCATTCATTTTGAGACCGGATTTCATCCCGGAATCCACAACACATAATGAAAGACGACATAAATTAATTAATCATAGACAAATATTTACAAATACAGGGAAGTTAACTGATTTTTATCAATGCCTCTTTGATAAAGCATGTTCTGCTTTAAAATCTTTTACACAATTTCAGTACAGCATGGGTGTGTGGTGTGGTGCAATAGATAATAACTTCAAATGAGAAATTGGAGAGCCAAGTCCAAATTCCATTTTAGTTCAGTACTTTCCTTTATGTGCAAATACCCTTGGAAAAAGTATGAATCCATCTTCTCACCCAAGTATAGGATGAATAGCAGACTCTACTGCCAGGACCCTACTATTTTGGTTAGCAACCGGTCTACTGCAGAAAGAAATTGCAACTTACTGCAGGAAAACCTTCTGCCTGGTCAGTCATGAATTGAAAGCGGCATGATCACCCAAATGTATATTACATATGGCATTTAATTCACTGAGAGCATATTTATATGAGATGATTTTCAGAGATGAAGCATGCTAAATCTGCATAAAGATAAGACTTACAATCAATTTTTACATTACAAAGAACATTCTTAATTTTTATCAAAAATGTCAATGTTGTCATTTTTATTGATTCATATTTAACACTAACGCTAAAATTATATTAGACTTTATTTCTATTCATAATGGAAATCATTATTTAATATGGTTTAAAATGAATGATTAAGAAATAAAATATAAAGTTTTGTGTGTGTGTGTGTGTGTGTGAATATATGATAAATTATGTGTTTTTAAGTTTTAAGTTATTAGTTTTAAGGTATGCTATATTTATGGGTTAAAATGCTCAATATCAAGGATAGAGGGTATATAATAAAAGTGGACATTGAAATCAACACCCAGAGGCAACAGTGTGTTTCATGCTTAAATGTAATTGTCAGGGTTTATATTATTTATCCATGGATTTTGTCTTGATAATTGTGATCATATGAAATATGTCATTTTAACCATTTTCAGATACTAGCTTTTTATTCTTTCTACATATAATCTAGTCATAATTTTCAAGTAAAAGTAACAAAAAGTTTTACATTAGAAATATTCAAGATACTTATTTACATCATCCTTAGTATAAGTGAAAATGTGACAGAGAGAGTCTCACACACACACACACACACGTATATTTTTTTTTTTTAGTGAAATTGGATGGATTTGAATAGCGAAATTAGATCAGAACATTTTGTTTACTGGTGAGGAAATTTGATCTAGGGCAGAAGTTGTACCCATTGAATCTAGGTCATCAGAGGACAATGAAAATGGTTGAAATAATTTTTAGCAATTAAAAATTGAAATAGAGCTGAGTAAGCTAGAAGGAACTTTTGAATTCACATGATTTTGGTTGAAACAGCCAAAACCCTGTGATAATCACGTGCGAAACAGTAGGGCCAGGGTTCAGCTGTAACCAGCCTGATTTTTTTCTTATAAATGTGTAGTTATGCTGAAAAACACAGACAGGCAAGCGTACAGACGGAAGAGAGAGATGGAAGAAAATTAACCCGGGCAAGAGTTGGGCTAGAGACAGTGGAGAAGTAAAGTTGGAGACTCAAGAAGGAGAGAACATTACGTCAGAGATTGGAACGAAGCGTCTGCTAACATGTACTGTTGATATAAGTACCGCTGCTTCTGCTACCACGAATATTACTACTACTGTTACTACTGCTAAGGTGGAGCGCCACTATAAACTTTAAGCCGCGCACAGAAATCTTATTCCCCCATCGCAAGAGTTGTATATTGTTCTGAGATGATTTAACATCAAGTTAATTATAACACACTCTCTCTCTGTCCAGAATCCGGTGTATGCGTTTTTACATCAATTACTTTTCTTTTCTGTACTATTCTTTTCTGTTATATAAAAGACATTAGCAATTCAATCATGGAATAATTGTTTGTCTGGCTTTCTGAAGTTATTAATTTTTTTTTTTGCTGTATTCTAAATTTCTTAGTACAGACTCTCCAGCCGTGTCTACATCTTCAGTCGACCGTGAATGGATGAACATCACTTCTGCTTTCTGGTTGGTTGGTTGGTTGTTTGGGGCTTTATGGCATATCAACCACTATGGGTCATTTAATGCCAAATCTAGTTCTCACATATATATTAAATATATATACTTTGTAAACATAATTTGAGGATAGCGTCCTTAAACCACAGCTTGTTTATTCTTACTCAAGTAAATGGTTTCAAATGTTTCTATCTGGCATGAGTTAGTTATTTATATTAAATAAACTAATTCATTTGCATAGCCAATTGTAATTTTTCATTACCAGTTTTATTTGCAGTGAAAAAAGGCCCAATGTAGTATTAATAAATATGGTATTGTTTGAATTTAATGGAGGTTGTTTCTTTCTTGTAGGCAAACTATTTTTTGGTTATGGTTGGTCAGAAGTCGTTAGTTCCTGATAATTAGCTTTAAATTCTTCTGCAAGATTGCATTATTTTGTAATTTCATTGTTTAATCTGTAATTTGTCTGAATTGGAGTTATTGCTCTTTTTTGACTTGTTTTTAGTGCTTGGCTCATCGGTTTCCATCCTATCCAAAAAACTAAACCTGTTTTCCGTGTCAATCTTTGAAGTTGATTGTTCTGTAGGTTGACTTGTTAGATTTGAAAACTTTAGACGTTCCCGTGAGGAAGTTGGGGTATGGTCTCTCTTGGGTTGTGATGGACGTTCTTCTTTGTCCTTGTTTGATTCAGTGTTTTGTATATTATTTTTCCCATTGTTATCGATTTTAGAAGTTGAAAGACAGATTGATGATCGTTGCAGGGTCTGTTTTTTGGTAAGAGTGGTCTGTGTCTGTGATGTTTTTTTGGTCATTTCTTTTTCATTCTTTATTTTGTCATGGGTTTTATTAATCTGAGCTGGAACTTCCATTTGGAATGTTTGTTGAGTACTATTAGCGTGTTCCTTCTTTAGCTCTGCCTGGAATTTTGTCCACTTGCTTGGATCTAAATTTATGAGTTTTTCAATTAGGGTTCTATATTTGTTATCTTCATTGGTTGTTTCAGCTCTCCGTGTAACAGAGGCATAGCTAGTCTCACCCATATAGACCTCTACAATTTTTCTGGCCTCCAAGAAAGACACATTTCTCTTATGTTTTACCTCAATGATTTTTTTTTCTTTCCTGTAGACATCACAAGATTTTGTATATGCCAGATGACAATTTGGACATTTTAGTGGTTTCAAGCATTCCTCTGCTTTATAATTTGGTTCTTTTTCTCCACATTTGGCACATGTCTGTCATCTTCTGCAAGCGTCCCTGTAGTGTCCAAACTTCTGACATTTGAAGGGTCTCAAGGGAGCTGGGACGTACTGTTCGACTCTCTCCAGACAATAGCCTATTTTGACCGCTTTAGGGGTTTGGGGCTGGTTAAAAGTCAATATGTAGATGTTTGTTTTGACTTTTTCATCACCCTTTCTTATAGTCACTCCATGTTTTCCCAGGGCATCTCTTATCTTGTCTTCTCAGGCTAAAGCCAACTCTCGACTTCTGATGACACCTTTGGAAGTGTTAAGTCTTTCATGTGGATAAGTTTTACATTTGGAGTTATGAAATTTTTTCATTTTTAGGAGGTTTTCTGCTCGTCTCCTGTTATCCACCTCAACAAGCAAGTTTCCATTTCTCAATTTTTTAATTTTTTTTGGTGTTGCTCGTGCAGAGATAATTTTTTCAATTAAAAATGGAGAGAATTTAGCAAAACAGACCTCTTCCAGGAATTCAATGATAATGAATCTGGGGAAGTCTGCTGTTTCCCACCCACCACGGAGTCCAACTTGAGAAGGGAATGAACCAAGAGGATAACCCATTTGCCTTGGTTGAGACAGGGATACATGACCAGTATACTCATATTAAGAGCAAGTCTTGAGCCTCTGCAAAATTTTGGTTATAAAGCCCTTCAATTTAACAGTAGTGAAAAAGTCTTTTGCTCTCAACACAGTTGACCCTCAGTCCCCGCCTTCTAGCACATATAAGATAAAGAGTTGTGAAGTGTTCTATTAATATAGATTCAATAATACTATTGGGAGAAAAAGAAATATATATGAGCTAGGGCATGTCGGGACCAGCCGATTGATCGGATCGGGCCTCTCCGACCGCCCATCTAGCCCAGGTAAGGGCCAAAGTGGTGTGTTGTAGGAACATGACCTCTTTGCACCCAGGTCATGACCTTCTCAACCACCAGGATCCCGTCCCCAGGTATTACGGGTTGCCACCCATGGCCAACAGGTGGCCCCCTTGGGGGACTTTTACCCCCTGCAGAGGTGCAGTTGGCATATTCTGAAGCCCCACCAACAGAGCGGTTCTGCTTTCTGAATTTCTGCTTTTCCAAACAACGTGGGCAGGAAGCAGGATTAAACCAGTGGACCAGTTGAATAATCTCCGGATGCTCAGGGGACCTACAGCCACTCCCTTAAGTTCAGTTAGGACCAAGTAGACACCTCAACCCAGAGAGTAAGACGTCGGAGGTTGAGGAGCTGGGGCGAAAGTGTTAGAAAATAACCTGAGCTTATTTTATTACTTAATAAATAAAATCAAAATGAAAAATTGTCTATTTTATTCCAAGGACAAATAAAATGATAAATTGTGATCAACTTGTCAACAGACAATTTTTTTTTTCTTTCTTACTTATCTATAAGTTTGCCATTTGCCCATGCTTAGAATATTGCTGCAACATATGGTCCAGTCCTCTTGCTATTTAGAGATTCTTGATAAAATCCAAAGAATCAGCAATATTTTTTGTTCTGACCTGGCGTCTCAGCTTCAGTCACTTTCTCATTTCTGTAATGTTGCTTCCCTGTGCTTTTTCTATAAATACTTTCAGGGTAATTGTTTGGATGAGTTCTTCACTATGGTACCTAGACTTCATGAATTTAAGTGCAGTACCAGAGTAGCAACAAGGTCTTATCAATTTACAATTGAATTTGCTAGATGTAACCATAAGTTCTATGCTAACAGTTTCTTTTCTCACATTTCTTGCTTGTGGAACTCTCTTCTGGCTCCATGCTTTCTGGCCAACTTTGATCTTCCAAAATTTAAATGCCATGTCAATCGTTATCTACTATCTTCCTGATTACACTTCTATTGTTCTCGCTCTTTCATAATGTTTTGTTTTCTAATTCTTTCACACCCTGTAACTCCTTGTGTCTTAGTGGCCTTGCTTGGGATAAATTTAATTAAGGAAAAAAAAAAAAAAAAAGACATAAAAATTTATAACTCTTTCCAAACTGTTCAAGTTGAAAGATAATAACAGTATTGATATTTTTCAATTTACTAAAATAAACTTTTATTTCAGTATAACAATATTTTTCAGGGCAGATATCTAACTGGCTTAATCACAATTTTTGCAAGTCAACATGCCTTTCAACCATTACATGCTAAATACATGGTCTTTCAGATACATAATTGGGGAAGAGAAAAAAAATAATATATTCCTTGTGAACTAATATTTATTATAAGTTTTTAGATTTCAATGCTGGGTAAAGTTCAGACAATAGACATCAGTGTCTTCTGAATACAATAAATCAATAATAGTATTAAGTTCAATTCAACTAAAATAACTTCTCATTCCTGAACTTTTCAAATTCAAAATTATAAGATGGACCTGAAAAATAGTTTATCAATTACATTATTTTGAAGAAAATTAAAAGTAAAATAAAAAAAGTGTGAAACAAATTAAAAACAAAACACTTTAATTCACAAATTCAAAATTTTGCATAAAGTTCATTGTTAGCTGTTTCAATAAGAAAAGAAAAATTCATGATATACATTTTATACTATTTAAAAAGAGATAACACTTAAATGAGAATATTTATTTGTAATACAGTGAAAGTATACAGGTCTTACAAGTCACTGTTAGTGAATTAATCCTTAGCTGCCTTAGAAATTTGTTTTATACCATACTTGATTTCAAGTCATAAAAAAAGAATTCTAATTCTAGTAGTAAAAAAAAAATTTTTTATAGAGGTTGTAGTTGTATTGGAATCAGATCCTGATATGTAGATTCTACATGCTGGGCTACTTTTGGAGGAGAAAAACAAAAAAAAACAAAAAAAAACACACAAAGTAAAAATAAACATTCAATAAAATGAAAACAAAATTTCAAAATGTTATAACTTTGACAAATTTATCTATTTCCAGATCTTTTACATTTCTAAAACAGAACTTTGTAAAATAATTCATGATAAAAAAATCAAATACTTTTATTTAATAATATAGCAATTTTTAACTGATTTAAAATTTAGTCCATAGGGAAATTTAACTGAAAAATTTAAAATAAACTTGAGCTTGCTACATTAAACTTTATTTTCAAGTCATTACAAAATATGTTAATCTGAAAAATAACAGAAACAAGATATTTTCCTTGTAAAGATTTGTAAAAAGAATAGCAGTGTAAGAAGCAAAATTATACTTACTCAGATGCTTTATACTCATCACTCTCAGAGCCATAACTGTCACTGTCAAGAGTTGTAAGCTTTCGTTTTGGTCGCCTTTTCCGTGGAGCTGGATACTGTTCATCACTGTCACTACCGTTTCCTACAAGATTGGAAATATCTTTCCCACGTCGTCGTCCAGCTTCTTTCTTAGCTTGAATACCTTGTGGTCGAAGGTCATTGGTTTCACTATACACTGTCATTATAGTATCCATATCTTTACCTCGACTTACTGGTCCTTCAATTGAATTGGTAATATTTGACATGTCTTTTCCATTTTGATTACTGTCATCTTTATCTTCAGCAGCACCTAAAGAATAAATAATAATGTTGTAAGGCTCAAGAAAATGCTACAAATGTTATCATTCAATGAAACAGTGTAGCTGTTAACAATAATTAACAGATAGCAGTTGATTTTTTATATAAAGTTGAACCTCACTTTGTAGCCAACCTTTGCATTTATTCATAGTTGTCTCACTCAACAAATCTTTCATATTCAAAACTTTTAATAAATTTACTTTGTAAAATCTATTTAAAAAGGATTAAAATATAAACAAAAAAGACAGACATAGAATTTATTTAATATTAATAATATTTTGAAAATATAAAAACATCAATTAATTTTAATGTCTTCAAAACCCATCACTTTCCTGGTTGGAAAAGCTAAAGTTAAAAAAAAAGTTTTATTAATTTTGTCTAATTCATTTCATTTTTACAATAAGTCAAATATGTTTGTTAGTGGGGGGGGGTAGTTATAACCACCTTGTCATCAAATAGGACTATAATAAAAAATTTGGAGGCATACTTAGTTTACTATTATCTTTCCTAACATGGTTTGTTATTATTTGCACTCTCTGCAGGAAACCTAACGCAAATAAGATTGTTACACAATTATACATATATTATTAGTGAAAACAAAATTCAAAAACATTTTTAAAAACATAACATAACATTGACATAACTTATTTCAAAATGCCAAAATCACATTTTTCTATATGCATGAATCTTATTGCTTCTAAAAATATTCTAATTTTAAATTACTTAAACTCAAAAGTACTCTTCAATCTTTAATTTCTGTTAAGAATGAAGTAATAAAATGTCCCTGTTTGTTGATACTCAAAATTATCCCTAATATTGAATATTTAAAATAGGAAAACATAGATTAGGTCAAATTACCTATAAGAGGAACTAATATTGTTTAATATATTTCAAATAATTTGATACAAATAAATTAAATGGATCAAAAATATTTTATATTTGACTCATTGATACTGATCTTCAAGGTCAGTTCTGCATCTATTGTTATAAATAGGAAAGATTATTTGATTATCTAAACACATAATTTGTGTAATGTAATCTTTGGATTTGATATAACTATCTACATTATATTCTAAAAAATAGGATAACATAAGATATACTGATTTGATAATATGTTTGATATTATGATCTATTTCAGCCAAAAGCTTAACAACCTATTTTTACAGGACTTAAAGAAGTGCCTTAAATTACTATAAAGGTTTGAGTAAATGCATAAATGTCACAGCAATCAAATTGATTCTTTTCACTTTTCACCCATTTAATTATTATCTCTTGACTCTAAATAATGTCGTGTATTTAGTTTTGTATTTTTTCGTGATAGCTGCATATTTATTTTAACTTTATTACAGATTAAAAGGAATGAAAGAGATTTCATTACTTAGAATATTGCAAAAAAAAAAAAATTCATAACTTAAAAAATAAAATGCAGAACAACATATAAATATAACTTACCCTCAATATCAGGATCAGTAACAGTCCTTAAGTCATCTTGAATAGCACTGTCAATAAGTTCATCAAATTCAGTAAACTTGTAGTTAATAGATCTTCGAATACGACAAGTTCTTGTTGTGGATGACTGATTTGGACAATCCACATTAGGTTCCATATTCTCTTTTCTTTCCTGAAAATTTAAAAGAAATGTTAACATACATAATGGATACTTTTCGAAAAATCTATAAAATTTAATAACAGTAATGAGTATATGAGTTATAAAATACTATTTGTAATTTAAAAAGAAGTATTTTTGTAAAATAGAGGTGTACCATATAATCAGAAAAAAAATCCCATTTTAATAAAATTCAAGTCTGTTTCAGAAAATAATTCTTTACATTTTTCAAAAGAATGGATAAAAAGAATGAATTTAAAGAACGACTAATTAAAAAATAATTTAAAATAAGCTGTAACAGCTATATTTTAGTCTAAAACTTGTGCAAACACCAAATAATTTTCCCAAGTTAAAATACATATCACTAATAATTTGACTCTACAGTAGAATCTTGAACTTACATAAGATTTGCAGATTGAAACTAAAAAATTATATAAAATATAACATGCTAATTAGCATGCTATGAGATATTTCATTTTTAATGTCATGTCACTTTAGGATTAGGTGATTATGTTTCTCAACAGGTTCTAATTGTAAGCAACAAAGAAAAATAAAAAATAAGCTTCTGCTAAAATATGTGCTTGTATCTGATATTTTTGGTAATACTTAAGATGAACAGCACCTTACTAATTAGGCAACACAAGAAAATCATTCTGCATTCTTGCATATACAGTTTTACTCTATGCTATATTGTTTGTTTATTAGTGGTAGATATTGGATTCAAGTCCAAATGTTATCTGAGATTAAGTTTTTATTTACTCATCCAAACTGCTTGATTAACACCAAAAAAAAGCAATCTGAGCATTTCAATAAAAAGCAAAAAATTAAGATGAAAAGTAAAAACTAAAAAATGAATTCTAAGACATTTAGAAGTAGAGCAAAAAAATAAATAAAAACATTTCTTTATTGATTATATTTAAAAAAAAAAAAAAAATAAAAAATAAAAAAAGAGTAAAAATTTAATGAAATAAATTTTACAATGAAAGCAATAAGATATCAAAAAGTTTCTTACCGATAAAATATTATCCAAACTTATGCCTACAAAAGCCAACCTTTCCTTCCTGTAAAATAAATTCATGTGAATGTAAACAACAAAAATTCTAAACATAAGAAATATTTTAAGTATAAGTATCAAAATTTTCTAAAAATGTTTTTCAGAAAAGAGAAGGGCTTAAGAAAAATAATTAAGAATGTCTCAAAAAAAAACAAAAAAAACAAAACAAAAAAAAACAAAAACAAAAACAAAACAAACAAACAGAAAAGAGTATCAACAAACTTAAATTATATTTAAAGGAGACATAATTATAAAGCCTTACTATTTGCTGCTGCTAATTTATCCAAAGATAAATATCAGAGCAATTACATTTAATTTTCTTCTTGGAGACACTGAAATTAAGATGACATATTTCTTGAACTATACAATTTCATTTTCATGAACATACACTGATAAATTTAAAATGCTTTCTCTCAAATTAAAATGTATTTTAATTACTTTAAACAAAAGCAATGCATTTGCTTCAAATTATCACTGTACCTCACTTAATAGATGAATGCATTTTGAAGTTATAAAAATCTTTTTATTTTTTTTAAAACTTCAAAATATTACCATGACAATATTACTATCAAATATTATTAACAGCTGTAAAAGTGTAAATCATTTTAGCTGTTTACATTTCCAGCCAATAAATAAATGATAGATCAAAAGCAGAAAATTAGAATATTTATGAGAAAAAAAAAAAAAATTTACTTCAATATAGTTTCCAAGTAAAATAATTATTAGATTTTTTTTTCATCTAAAAAGTTATATTTGCAAACAATACTTAAATTTGAATTGGTGAAATAAGCAAGCCACCCCAAGTGTATTCAACAAAATTTGATGAAATCAGGTTGGATTTGCATGGGTATGTTTTACAAATTATTTATAAACTTGTACAAAAATCCTCAGGGCAAGGAAAATATGTCAAAAGTATCCTACATAACACACTATTATAACTTTTATTATGCACAAATTTACAAAAACACTTTTCTAAGAGAGCAGAATAAATTTACATTTATGTCATTGCTATTGCTTTTACTACAATACTAACCATCCACTATAAATACATTTAACTTGTGTGTGCATGCACATGTGAATAATTTTAAATATTACCGTTTCATCAAACGTTCTCTCTTTTTCAGCTGGAGATCAAGTTCATGAAGATTTGTAGTTAATTTTTCTAACAACATTTTCTAAAAAATAAAATGTAAATGTCAACAATTCAACATACTTGGTAAAACAGAAAAAGAATATTATGTTTGAATGTTTAAAATGTGTAAATCTATTTTACATCTAAAAATAATTTCTGCAATCATCTACTTTATTTAAAGTGCACCCAACACCATGTATAGAAATTAATAGTAATACAGGAATCTTATATAGCAGTTCATTAATTGTAGAATTAAAACAGAACTCATGTAAAATATTAATGAAAGAAAAGCATAGATATTTTATCCTAAATACAAGTTAAAATTTTGCAAGAAATGGAATATAGTAATTTTCAATCTTTTCCCAGGTTTTCTTTTTTCTTAATTGATGTATACTTTACATGTAAATATATTTCTTGCTCAAAATTTCAGAAGAAATGTGCTCAAGGAAAGACAGTTCAAATTAGATTGGCAAGCCATTTTCATTTCAATATTATTGAAACTTTGTGATTAAGCTTAGTAAATATTTGTATAAAATGCTGATGCAACTGCACACAAAATATATGCCTTAAAAACTGAAAATTACAACAGGTAGGTGGGTGTTCACCTGTTCTGGTGTAAATAGTACACCCCTGGTGATTATATGAAGTAGTCCACAACTATAAATAAATAACTCCAGGTCAGAGGTAAGAAAGAAGAAGCTGTTTGGAGTTAGTCTTCAGGCTAATTAATACAGACATCATGGCAGGTTGCCCAAGCATTGCTTATATTATAAGCACTACAATACATTATAACAGTGGCGATGAGGGAAAAAACACAGGTGATTTATAATTTGTGATGTTATAACTTTAACAGTATCGAGGATTCAGGAATTCATACAAGTTGTAACTGGAGTTACAAGAATTTAGGAAATTCATACTAAGTGAACAAGTATGGAAAAATATATAGTTGTTGCTTTGGGAATAAGGATACAGGTGATGATGACAAAAATTTTAACCCCATTTAAAAAAAAAAAAAAAAAAAAAAAAAAAATTTCTTGTCTGATAAAAAGAAACATTTTTTTTTCTCTTGGGTATAGAAAAAATACAAACATATTCATGTGAATATGGAGGAAATTTTGGCTTCAATAGTTGAAATTCAACAACAACAGAAATAGCAACAACAACAAAATCAATGGTTGCTAGAACTACAAAAACAGCAACAGGAGTTGTTGGATATAATTCTGAAGTAAACAAAAAGTTCTTCAACATCTCTTACACCAGACGCTGTCTAAAACGTCAGAATTTGTATACAATCCTGATGAGGGACTGACTATTTCTGCATATTTTTGTAGATATGAACAAATATTCAGTCAGGAATACAGCAGCTGATAAGAGAGAAAAATGAGATTGTTGTTGAGGAAAATAGGTTCGAGAGAGTATGAGAAATACTGCAAGTATATATAACTGAAAAAAAAGATTGAAAATTTTGTCATGTTTGCTAGTATTATCAACAAAGAATGTGAAAAGTTTAGAATAAAGGAAATGACTCCTGATATGTTCAATGTGTTAATTTTCATTCAAGGTATGACAGCTAAAATAAAATGCTGAAATATGAGTGAAAATTTTAACAAAAAAACAAAACAAAAAACCCACTAATATTACACTGCAAGAAATAGTGAACAATTGCCAGACAATTCTAATTGTCTGGCAACTGAAATGCGAGAAATTCCGAAAAAAGAATGTGCATTGATACAAGCAGAGGACAAATGTACAAAAAGGAGAATAAATCCTTGTTTCAGATGTGATAAATTACATCTTGGAAAAGACTGTCCATTTAAAAAGGTGACACCAAAGTGATGATTTCAGTTTCTAGTGAGATTTTTTTTTATTTTTTTGAGAAATGACTTGTAATATCTCATTCTGTAATAAGCATGTAAAAACTAAAGCTTATGTATTTAAAAATGCTACAAATTTATTTGGTACTGACTGGATGGAGCTATTTGAACTTTGGGATTTGCCAATAAACCTTTATTGTAAAAACATAAGTGAACAAGTAACCAATTTAAAAAGTCAGTGAAAATCTTAAGGATGAATTAAAAAGTGTTTTCCAGATGTTCTGTCAAATGAACTGGGTTAGTGTTCAAAATTCAAGGCAGATTTTCAAGTAAAAAACGGTTTGACACCAGTGGAACATTAACAAAATTGGGACAAGTCAATGAAGAGTTGGACAGACTCAAAAGAATTGGTGTAATAGAAAAAATTAACCATTCAAAATGGGCTGCACCAGCAGTGTATGCAAAGTAAAAAAAATAATAAAATTTGTGTTTGCTTGGATTTCTTGACAGGATTTCTTGATTAATTACTCATTACCAAGTCCAGAGGAAAATTTTTCAAAGTTAAACAGCAGAAGAATATTTTCAAAGCTCGATCTCTCTGAAGCCTATTTACAAATTCAGATTGAAAATGAATGTTCTTAATTAATGACCATAAAAATACACAGAGGATTATGTAAATTTAACTGACTTCCTTTTTGGTATAAAGGTGGCACCAACTATTTTTCAACAAGCAATGGATATCATGCTTGTGAATTTCAATTTCACAGTGGCATATCTGGACAACATGTTAATCAAAAGTGTATCTAAAGAACATGTTGGGCATGTGAAAATTTTGGAAAAACTAAGAAAATATGGATTCAAGCTCGGTGAAGAAAAACGTGAAATGTTCTTGCTGAAAACCTTTGGTCAAATTACTGATAAAAATGATTGTCAACCAGATTTGTCAAGGGCAAGTGGAATTAAAAATATGCCTCCACCAACAAAATGTGACTTTACTAGGACTGGCTAATTACTATCAAATATATGTACATAATATGTATAATTTGAGAGATCCACTGAATAATCTACTTAAAAAAGGAGTAAAGTGAAACTGGGATGATAACTGTCAGAAGCCATTTGACAAAATAAAAAAAAAGACTTACATCAGATTTATCATTAGCACACTATGATCCAAAAGTGGTGTCAGATGCTAATATGGTATTGGAGCAGTGATTTTACACAAATATGATGGCGGCAAAATGAAAGCCTTCACTCATGTTTCACACTCACTTCTACCAGCAAAGAAAAATTACAGCCAGATATTAAAAGAAGCTCTAGCAATTATATTTGCTGTGAAATAATTTAATAAATTTATTCAAGGAAGAAATTTTAGGTTGAAAACAGACCACAGACCTCTATTTACAATATATGATTCAAAGAAAGGAATACCTTTGCATACAACTAATAGACTACAATGTTGGTGTACCATCTTATTAAACTACCATCTAAAAAATTAGGACATGCAGATGGATTATCAAGATTAATAGCTAAAAATGTGGAACCATTTGAGGATTCAGTCATTGCAGCACTAAAAAGCGAAATGGAAATAAAAAAAATTTTGATACAACATAGTATGAGAGTTACCAGTTACCCTGGAAGAAATAAAAGAAAAAGTGAAAAATGACATCTTTAATGTGAAAATGAAAAAGCAAATGAAAGAAAGTAACAAAGAACAAAATCCAAACTTAAATGCTTACTTGCTATGCAACAGTGTAATAATGTTCGGGCAAAGGGTTGTAATACCTAATCTGTTACAGAATAAAATATTGAAGGATTTTCATAGCAGACATCCTGGTATTTCAAGAATGAAATACCTGATGAGAAGTTTTGTATATTGAACCAGAATGGACCAAGTTATTCGGAAAAAAAAAAAAAAAAAGAAAGCTTGCAGAGGTTGTGCTCTGGCAGCAAAATTACCTATAACAAAGATAGAACCTTAGCACAAGACAGACACACGTGGTCAAGAATGCATATAGATTTTGCAGGTCCTATGAATGGATCACATTATCTTGTAGTAGTTGATAGTTTCACTAAATGGCCAGAAATTTCTAAGTGGAAAAAAAAAAAAAAAAAAAAAAAAAAAAAGTGAATTTCTTGCATGAACTGTTTGCAAGATATGGCATACCAGATACCACAGTCGCTGATAACAGAACGTAATTCATCGGTAAAGAATTCAAAGACATTTGTAAGATGTTCTCCATTGAACATATTACAACTCCACTATATCACCCAAGGTCGAATGGATAAGCAGAATGGTTTGTGGAAAAAGTGTGTCTTGAAAACGTAAATGTGGAAGCGTTTACTGTGTAAAACCCAACCCTAATACACCATCAGGCATGTCACCAGTGGAATTAATGTTTGCTAGAAAAGTAAAATTGAAAAGTAAAAGTTATTGCCAAATTGAAAAACTCAAATTGATAACAAAAATTTCAAGGTCACTGATAAAGTGTTCTTTAGGGCAAAGAAATGTGTGAAGACAGCATATTTGCAAGAATCGAAGTTGATTTAGCATAAAAAAATTTGAATCATTGGATGAAAAAAAATGTTAATCAAACAGTGGAAGAACTGATAAAAATGCTATATGATATTTTCGATGTGCCAGCACCACAAGTCATGGAACCTATAAGGACAAGTTCCAGAAAAAGAAAGTATACTGAAGAACTGGAAGTGGATCCGAGACAGAAATACTACAAATTCAAGTACATTGGCAATCTCTCCAGAAAGAGGTGGGGATACTAATACTAATAAAAAATAAAACATTTATAAAAAATATTAATCTCTAAAGTGGCAAAGTTGTGGAATAAATAGTACGCCCCCAGTGACTATATGAAGCTATAACTATAAATAAAGATCTCCAATTCAGAGGTAAGAAAAGAAGCCATTTGGGGTCAGTCTTCAGACTAAGTAATACAGGTATCATGGTAAGATGAAGTGTGTTATGACATGATCTTTGTACAAATAGCTCTTTATTAAGTTTATAAAGAGAAAATTATTTTAATAGGTGAGATTAACAACTGATTTTACAACAAAAACCTTATTACATTAATAATATGAGCCATTTCAATTTAAAGTCTATTTTCAAAATGATTTAAAGATAAATGAAATTTAGTTATTTTTTCCACCAGGTAAATGAATATTATTTCATATTTATAAATAAAAAATTGATCAATATTTAATTAAATTTGCTCGTAATTAAACAGACTTGCCAGAGCCACAGAAAAATCCTACAAGAGTAGAAAACCCTGCATTTTTACAAATTTTCAGTTTTCCCCGCTTGACAATAAATAGCTTCTATTACTCTCATTAAAAATTATACATTTTTAAAAACTTTATTCACATAAGTTTTTTGCCCACTGTGCGGAGAGGTACTGAGATTAAGAAAGCTTTTTGAAGCATGGTCCTCAGCTGAAGATTGCTGTTGGTCTGGAGCAATGATGTGCACATTCCTCTGCATTTGTTGCTGCATGACTTCCCCATGCCAAGCTCCTACACAAAGAACCACATTGAGTGTGTGTGTGTGTGTGTGTGTGTGTGAGAGTGAGAGAGAGAGAGAGAGAGACTAAGTCTTCCTTTGTCTCTTGTTAAATGAGCATCTCTTCTAGCATTAGTCCAAAAATGTTAATTTTAAATAGTGTTTTTTTTAGGTTTGGTTTTTTTTTTTTTTTTTTTTTATTTTATTTAGTTTTACTGTTAAATAAGCCAACATGGATCCAAAGAAAGTTCTGAGTGTGTCTTTGGGAAGTCACTTGGCTTAAATGTGAGTGGGTAAGATGTAGAGGAGTTGGCAGCTGACAGGGAAGAGCTGACCACCAAAGAACTCCATGATCTTCAACTGGAGCAGCAACAAATAGCAGCTGAGACAATAGCTTCAGAGGAGGAGAGAAGAGAGAATGTGCCTTCTCCAGTTATTAAGAACATTTATTCAAAATGGAGTGAGGTTTAAAGTTTTGTTGAAACTAAGAAAGCTGTTGCAAGCTTAATGCATTGCATGTTTAATGACAATGCTGTGTGACATTTCAGGCAAATTTTAAAGTGGAGACAAAAAACTTCTCTGGACAGGTTTTTAGTGAGTGAGGGATCCAGTTAACCTCAAGTAGGTTCTAGTGGTACAAAGAAACAGTGACAGTAAATAACCCCCCCAAAAAAAAAACATATCCAAAGTCTTTATAGAGGGGGATACCTCTTCCAAACAATAACACCTCTCCTTCTTCACTACCTTACTTATGCCAACAAGAGTCTTCAGTAAAGGTAAAGTGAAGTTAAATGTTCATTTATTCTATTTGTCATTTATATTTATTTCTTATAGTTTTCTGCATGTCAAACTATCATATTTTTTGTTAATATTTTTGTGTGTGTCAAATGGATTGACTGGATTTACATTATTTCTCATGGGAATGTTAACTTGGTTTTCATGCATTTCAGTTTTTGGATGACTTTCTTGAATGGATTATGGCCAATAACCAAGGTTCTATTGTATATGTAATAGTGTTTCAAGCATTTATCACAGGTAGTAGTTTTGTTAAAATATGTAGTTTGATGATATAACAACTTGTAAAATTATTTTTCTTCCAGTAATCCCTTGTATCTCAGTGGCTTGCATGGGGTGAACTTGATTAAAAAATACTTTAGTACAATGTAAATTTTATGTATATGATAATAGATTGAAATTTTCATTTATACATCCTTTTTAATACACATAACATTCTTTATACATCCTTTTTAATACACATAACATTCATCATAAAAGAATTATACAAGGTTATAACACCATAATTTAAACCATTAAGTGACTAATGAAAATGAGTAAAATAATTTATTTATATAATTTTATTTAATGAACTGTTTTTACTCTCACTTTAAAACTTTTTTCTTAAAAAAAAAAAAAAAAAAGGCACAAAAAAGAAGGATTTTAAAGTGAGAATAAAGACAGTTTACTTTTAGTTTACAATCCTATGTAGTACTCATGTAGAAATTTCCTCAGAATGTTTCATCATTTTTCTTTGACTAGTTATTTAAAAAGGTATGTTGCGATTTCTTCAAATGCACTCTAGCCTTCCTCAAGCAGCTTAGGTCTATATATTCACACCTTAAGTAACGACTGGTTTTCCGGATATTTTTTATTTTTCTCTTCCTCATATAGCATACTACTTTATACTGCACAAAATCATTTCCATTACTATTATGAAAAGCAAGGCTGTACTCATGTAACCATTATGATAACCAATTTTTGCCATCCAGTCAAAGTATATTTTTTGTAATATGTTAATGCAATGATAAGGATGCAATTTTTTGTATGACAAACCCAACCAATGAAAAACTAAAAAAAAAAACTAACTTACATGTTCACAAGGAGGACAAAACCAATCTCCTTCAGGAATGATGTGGAGTGGTGGTGTTAAACAAAGGGTGTGATAACCAGCATCACATTTGTCACAGAGTAAAATCTGAAACAGAAAAAGAGAAGAAAGATGAATTTTTTGGTGGATGTCGAATTATATTTAGTGCTTCTATTTGAAAAATTTTAAACAAATTCAATGCAATAGTATGAAATAAAAAATATCTCACAGTTTCTGGGTGATCAAATTTCTGACAATGACAGCAAGGTTTATCATTGTCATTTTCTTCTATTTTCTGAGCTTCTTTGATACCAGCTGTAAAATAAATAAATAATCAAACATGTTAATGTAAAAGGTAAAGTAAGGGAAACAATGTAATTCTAAAAAAGACAAATTTTTTAAAGAGATAAAATGCTCTAAAATATATTTTTTTTTACAAAGAAAATAAAGCAACAGTTCTTAAATAGTATATAACTTCAATTTTCCCTTTTAATAAAGAATTTCAATGAGACAAACATTCAAATACAATGGTGGTTGAAAAGTTCATAGGCTGACCTACTCCCATAGAATTTGACCAAATGAGGTTTATTTTTCAACACAGCCCCCTTGTGGCTCACACACTTCTTCCATCAGTGTTGTAGTGCTTGGATACAATTGCTTTGATCTTGTTGGTCAAAGAAAAGTCATCAACAGCAGATTTTATCATCACTGCAATACTGGTTCTCTGTTTTTTGATGTTGGAGAACAGATGATAGCCAAATCAGGAGGATAGAGAGGGTGATCAACCAATTCAAAGCCAGAGTCACACACAACAACCATTGAAACTTGTGTGTTGGAGCAAATTTCCTAATAAAACAAAACCTCTTTTGTCAGTTTTCCTGGGTTTGTTTGGTCTTGATAGCCTTTCATAACTGCCTTAGAAATTTGGCATAATACTCTCCATTGACGGTGTGACCCTTTTGATGATAGTCAATAAACAATACCTTTTGCATCCCCCAAAATACTGACCCATCACCTTCCCTGCAGATGAAATGACCTTGGCCTTCTTTGGAGCAGATAAGGAGGGGTGTTTCTATTGCATAGATTGTCTCTGGCTCAAAGTGGTGATGCCAACACTCATGCTGGGTTAGGAAACATTCAAAGAAACCAGCGGAATCTGTCAAATTTTCCTGTGATCAGCCTGGTGTGCTTTTAATTAAGTGTCAGAAGACATGGTACCGACTGAGCAAAAAACTTTGCCATGCCGACTTCATTGTGAAAAATATTCTCAACTCTCTCACGGGATATATGAACAGTATTGCCTATTTGATTTATAGTCAATAGCTTGTGAAGAACATGCTCAATCTTGCTGGCAATTGCAGGACATCCAGACCTTGGGTCATCTTTAAGACTCTCCCTCCTAAATTCAGCTGCCCACTTTTGCACTATTGATAAAACTGGAACAGCATTTGTTAATGTAGCAACCATGAATGTGATAACAAAATGGCTATTTTTGCAGTGATTTTATAACATTTTTATGTTATAATTTGAATAAATGATTATATATATATATATATATATATATATATATATATATATATATATATATACACACACACACACACACACACACACATCCCTATTTTAGTTATGAACAACAAGCTCTTGAAAGGTTTTTCACAATATAACATTCAAATTCATAATTTTTCTAAATTGGATTTGAGCAATTTATATTTTATTGTGTGTGTGTGTGTATTAGTAGGGTATCCTCAGTTATGAATAGCCAGACATTAATGATTATTAAACACACACACACACACACAATAAAATATTAATTGATCAAATCCAATTTAGAAAAATTATGAATTTGAATGCTATATTGTGAAAAACCTTTTAAGAGTTTGTTGTTCATAACTAAAATAGAGAAATAATTTTATCTATTACATAAAAGTTAAAATTTTTTCACGGAGGAAAAAAATCTAAGTTATGATTATTCCATAAAACTTTTAAAAATACCAATTCTTACCAGATCGAGCAGCAGCTCTTCGAGCATTTCTACCTTTAGGTAACTGGAATTCTTCATCACTAGTATCTTCATTAGTTTCAGATTTGTCTTCATCACTTGATGTGCTAATGCACAACAATTTGTTTTTTGTGCCTAAACTACGAACACGGCTACTTCTACGCAGTAGTTCCCCAACAAACAATTCTTCTTCTTCTTCATCATCATCATCTTCATCTTCATCTTCAGCTTCTGTTTTATCAGATACCCACTTGTCAGATTCTACTGAACCACTCCTCTTCTTCCTTTGTCGACCACGAGATCCCTTTCCAGCTGTAGAGGATCCACCACGAAGAGATCGTCCTGTACCATTACGACTTCTTACATTGGAAGTATCAAAATCATTCCTATTAAATTCTTTTTTCTAAAAGTGAAAAATAAAAAAAATAGACTTTCATATACTAGTACATATTAATATATATAACATTTCATTATTTTATTCATAAATTATTTAAATTGCATTTACTAGTTTACATTTTTCATATATTTTAGTAGACAACTCATTTTTGAAATGGTTTAGTTGCAATAATTATTTTGAAGAATAAATAAAAATCTATACTTTTCTTTCAAAGTACATGGTACAATTCCCTCCATATATATGAATTGAAACAAATATCAATTAAATCCAACAGAATGATAAAATTAGAAACAAATTAGAAAACATTTATAAATTTAACAGGTTTTCATTTTATTTTAGATTCATCAGAAATTTTTTTTATTTTTGGAAGAGAATTTTTTGGCACTTTGAATTCTGTGTTGTTTGTTTTCAATGGCCAGGTAGATCTCACATGTTTATGTCCTGTGGCATTAATGTATGCATGCATCTGAATTTTAGTGCTTGTCTGGTAGTATGCGTGTTTAATTCCTGAAGATAGTAGTAGGAAGAAATGAGGAAGGTGTGCATGTATGTATCAAATTTCTACTTGTTGTTGCAGGTATTGATAGTGTTAGTGTTTGTGGATAAATATATGTCATTAATGTTGGAGCAAATTTTATTGTTGAACAAAAATTGTGTCTGTCAGGAAATTTTAGGTTATATGGGTGTGCTTTGGCTTAATTCTATTATCATTATATATAACTTGAGTGTATTAGAAGATATTGGTATGTTAGAGAAAGGTGTCAGTGCATTTTTTGGTCAAAGGACACAATGGAAATGGAAACTCAAAATAGGACTTTGAGAAGCTTTAGTGATATCAGCAAAAGATTTCATCCCAAAGGAGAATGGATGAAGAAAGAATAAATGCTGGACTGATGAGATTCTCAACATGATGCAAAAGAGACAGAAAACTCTGCCAAGACAAGGAATACAGAAAACTACACAATGAAATAAGGACTAAATGCAGGCAGGCTAAAAAGAGTGGATAAACAAAAAATGTGCAGAATTAGAGAGATTGAGTACCCACAACAAAAGAGATATGCATAAACAAATAAGGAAACTAACAGGACAAAAGACATGCTTGTCAACAGGCTGCATAAAATCAAAGGATGGAACACTCATATTAGAGAAGGAAAAATTCTTAAGCACTGGAGAGGATATATTTGAGAACTCTTTCATGACAAAAGTGTACAACCAGCAATACACAGAACTAATGACAGGCCTGAAATTCTAAAAACTGAAGTAGAATCTGCACTGGCGAAATCGAATAGAAACAAGGTGGCACGACCAGACGAAATTGTAACAGAAATGCTGACAGCCTTAGATGATTTTGGCATAGACAAGATCACAGAAATAAGAAATGAAATCTACAACAGTTGGGATATACTGCAAGATCTCAGCAGAATTATCTTCTTAGCACTGCCTAAGAAACAAGGCACAAACAAATATCAACTCCACCAAACAATCAGCCTAAAGAGCCACATAAGAAAACTCAACTGTATTCTGATGAATAGAGCATGCAGCAGAATTAGGCCAGAGATAATACAATAACAATGCAGGTTCATTAAAGACACTGGAACAAAGAACGTGATATTCATGCTCTGAACGTTATCAGAAAGAGCAATAAAAATGTAGAATGTGCACCTGTGTTTTATAGACTATGCAAAAGTGTTCGACAAAGATCTGTTGGAACTGTTCAGCAACCTTGATATATTTGGGAAAGATATTAGAATAATCAAGAGCCTATACTGGCAACAAACAGCCTGCATCCAGATAGAAAATGAGTTCAGCAGATATATAAAAATAGAAAGGGGCATGAGGCAAGGATGTGTCTTCTTACCAGACTTATTCAACCTATACAGCAAGGCAATTCTGAGAGAAGTGGAAATTCTACAAGGATTCATCATTGGTGGCCACAATCTTAACAATATAAGACAGCAGACACAGAAAAGAAATTACAAAACCTCCTATAGAAGGTAGTGAAGGAGAACGAGAAGAGACTAAACATAAATTACAAGAAGACAGAATGCATGGTCAGCAGTAAAAAGATGAACCTGAAATGCGATTTACAGGTTGGGGACACTAAACTCAAGCAGGTGCAGAAATTTAAATATCTGGGAAGTGTTCTGATAGAGGATTGAAGAGAATTATAAACGCTGAGATCTGAAGACATATTGGGATGGCCAAAGATGCATTCCGAAAGCTAGGCAGAATATTACATAATGAGAAAGTATCAAATTCTCCAGGCCAGTGAATAGAGGGAAAGAGACAAGGGAAAGCAATGCATGACATACCTAGTGGGCTTAAGCAAGTGGATGACAGAACAAAGTCTAGGAGAAGTAGGAAAGTGACAAAACTTATTGAGAGCTACAAGGGATAGGGAGAAGTGGAGAGCCATGATCACCTACATTGTACATAAAAGAAAAAAGAAGATGAGCATGATGGAATCATATGTATGAAAAACTTAGGTTACATCATTAGCAAGTGTCTGAATCTTACATTCATTAAGTATGGTCTTTATGACTAGCTGATATGAAAATATGTGTCTGGCATATGTTTATGAATAGAATGATAATATTCCATCTAGATATTTTCTTCGCAATAGCATATGTACATTGTTTTTATTACAGTGGCATTTTTTTTTAATAAAAGTTAGGACCTGTTTTATATCTATGTATTATTAAAGAGTGCATTATCCCAATGGAGATCTCTCATGTTCATAGATGCAGGTTTTTGGGGTTCTGGGAGTTTCATCTACAAAGTTCTTAAGGCATTGCAGGCATTCAATTTTATATATCCCAGCTTACAATGTGGAGTTGGTTCTGTTTTTTTTTCTTTTCTTACTAAACAAATCTCAGATCTTCTTAGAGGTGGTAGTTATGATCAGAATTGTATGTTTTTCAAGTTTTGTTGATAGAGATTTGGTGTGTGGAATTATAAATTTTGTGATTTCGGTATTTATAGTACTTACTATTTTACTCTTGTGGATTTTATATGCTAGTTTTCTGGTGTTAAGAATGAAATGATGTGGGTAGTAAGAGTATAAAGGTTTTTCAATGGAAAAATTTTTGAACTGATCCAATCTTTCATATTATGAAATGAAAGTAATCTTGATTGGCCACTCTTCTAATTCCTTTTGTACTAATGCAGGTGTCCCCCAGGGCTCCATTTTTGATTTTTAGTAATGACCTTCCCAATGGTGACACAACCATTTACTCCTGTCTCAATAGTAAGTCTGATCAGTTTGACATGGTCAAAATGGCAACTCATATCCAAAGCAAACTTTAGTCTGTTATTAACTGGGGCAAAGGATGGCTTGTTAATTTTAACAATTCCAAAACTAAATGGCTCTATTAATCATCTGAGAGAACCCTCTCTGCTTTCCATTAGTATGGCTAATGCTGACTTCCAGGAGAGTAACTCGCTGCACCTTCTTGCGCTAACATTCTTGGTTGATATGAAGTGGAAAGACTATAATGAATCCATTGCTAGGTCAGCTGCCAGGAAGATTGGTTCACTGTGGCATGCTAGATGTTTTTTATCTCCAGAGTCTATCTTACATATCTATGTCTACCTTGTGTCCATGCTTAGAATAGTGCTATCTATCTAGAGCTCATTGATAAAATCCAAAGAAAAATCAGCAATATTATTGGCCCTGATTTGACATCTCAGCTTCAGTCACTTTCCCACAGCCATAAGGTTGCCTCCCTTTGCCATTTCTATAAATATTTTCATGATAATTGTTCGAATGAGCTCTTTGCTATGGTGCCTAGACTCTTTAAGTATTAGACTGGTGGTGTGGTCTCACCAATTTACAGTTGACTTGACTAAATATACCATACTTTCCAGCCAACTTTAATCTGCAAAAATTTAAATGCAACGTCAATCACTCTCTGCTGTCCTGATTACTTTTCCTCTGTTCTTGCTCCTTAATAATCTTTCTGTTTCTAACTTTTCCACACTTTTTCTTGTGTCTCAGTGGCTTTACTGCCTTGCTTAGGGTGAACTTGATTAAAAAACAAAAAAAATTTTGAATGCAATTGTATGTCTTCAACAACAGATAAAATGTATTGTCATTCATTTTGATATAAAATATGTTGTTGGTAATCCAACTATAAAATGCATTGCTAGTCATTTTGCTTTTAAAATGTATGGTTGGTAATTTTACAATAAATATGTAATGTTGGCAATGTTTTTATATAAAAATGTATTGTTGGTATTTTTACTTTAAAAAAATATTTTATACTTTCATATTGTTTTTTTTTTTTGGATTAGTGTCACTATCAGCACATAGTTGGGCCCCCTAACATAATTACCACCCAAGGTAAGTGAGCCTGGGAACAATAGCAAGTAAGAGGTGGTTCCATGCACCTCAAAACCTCCAATCTCCCTATCAGGGGCCTTGCTGCTGGATGTAGTTTATCATCTTACCCAGGACTAAATTATTCATTAAAAAAGGTTAAGGATATGAAGTTAGTCTCTCAGTATTCAATCTTCTGAAAATTTGAATCCCATTGACTCAACCTCATGCAAAATAATATATATATATATATATATATATATATATATATATATATATATATATATATATATATATTGAAATTTTTTTATTTGCACATGAAAGTTATATTATTATATTTGCTATATTTAAATAAATATCTCAATCAAAATTTCCAATCATTAAAATAAAACAAAAGAAGGAAATTCAATGGAAAATAAGTTATTTTGTTATATTTACCCACTAAAATGCAGAGAGGTTTCTTGGCTACTTACAACTCAAAAACATTTTTTTTATAATTATTAAGATAAAATTGTTTTTCTAAAAAGTTGCTACCATTAAAATTACAAAAAAATACAAATAAAAATTAGTGTGCTTAAACTTTCAACATAAATAGGCAATGTTAATGACTGAATATAATTATTATAACCTCATGCTTCTAAGGAATCTTTAAAAAAATGTCTCAAAACCTGCAGACATAGTATAGTTT